GGCAGCTGATCCATGATTCTCTCTCGCCATTGATGTTTCTCTCTCCCCCTCTCCTTTCCTCTACTGAGTGACGTTAGACCCGCTGTTGCTCAGAGAATTGATTTTTGACAAAAGCACAAGAAAACGCCACACGGGAAGGAAAGACTCTAACGCTGGGTCCTCTGGGGGATGGACGTGGAGCTAACTCACATCACACAGGGTTAACCTGAGGGGGATCAAAGACCCAGGCACAGTCACAGCTTCCGCAGTGCAACACGGGAAAAGGCCTGGAGACTTAGGACACGGAGAGCGCTAGCCGGAGGCGAAAAATAAATCAGGTCATTTTGATTTTTCTCAAAAGCAAAATCTCTGCCTACCCACAGACACCATTCGCTCCCACTTCCCACAGGCGGCGTCCCAGGCTGAGCGGCCTCACCGCCCTCCCTCCCGACAGCTGACAGCCGCACAAAACGGATACGCCGGCCCCCGGGCACTGGGCGCTGGCCTGCGGTCCTGGGACGAGCCCCTGCTCTCTGCCTGGCCCCATGCAGCCACCTCGGATCTGCAGGGCCCTGCAGGAGGCAGCCTTTCCTGGACCCAGAGGGAGATGAGGGCCTGGCCGACCGGGGCCAGGCTGCGTGACCAGGGGTGATACATCGACCTTGGGCCCTGCGGCTGGGATGTCGGTTCCACTCCAGCTGAGGAGCGAGTCCCATCGCCCCAAATCTCACTTTCCCAGCGCGGGGTGGGCACAGAGGCGGGCTCCTGTGGCCTTACTATTCCTGGCTGTAAGCTAAGCAGCTGCCCATTAAAATTCCATTAGTTTCAAAGCTTGAGCTGCAGTTGATATTTCTAATTATTGGGAATTAAAATTGTCCCTGTAATTTAAGGATAATTGCAGGCGATGCCAGCTGGCGCCCCGGGCCGCACTGCTCCCAGCAGAACATGGAAGGTCTCTGAACAGGAGAGGCAGGCGCCGGGGAGCGAGGGGCGGCGGGGTGCACGGCTGGAATCTCAATGTCAGCGTCATGGCTCCGGGGCCGGAGCCTGGGACGAGGAGGGAGGGCACCCCGTGCGGGACTGAGGACACGGGCAGTGTGACACGCTGGG